GAGGTTGAATTGACTTCCCACCCACTTTGTGGAAAGACCAGTTCTGCTTCCCTTTGTACACCCATTTCGATATTCCTGATCTGTAAATGTGCCTGTCCGTTGGGTCGTTTTTTAAACCTGTTATAACATTGGGCCGGCTCCTTCATTCGTTAACGAGTAGGAGAAAATCGCTAAGGGGTGCTCATTTTCATATCTGCATGAGGTTCGTGACTTCACCTTTCATGGAAAACTATGCTTGATCACTAACCTGGGTGGTCGGTCCCCTGCCCCCAGAAAAGCCCAGCTCTCCAGCACGGAAATGCGACGGAATCTATTTTTAAGGGGAACAACCGGGGTGACCTGGTTCCCCTTTAGTTGCCTTCTGGCCCCTGGTGAAGACCTCACCTCTGTGCCTTGGTCCCCATGAGTAGGAGGAGTCTTGCTTTGAAGATGTGTATATTGTTTTATTCTAGAACAGTTCAATCTAGCTCAGGAGCCCAGCCGGTCCATGCACTTGCCAGGAGGTTAAATGTTTGGCTTTGGAAGATTTTGTAAAGGCTTTAAGTCATTTTCAAGAAAAAATTGGAAACAAAGAAAAGAAAAAGAAAAAGTTGGTACCAGTGGCTATGGGCGAGGTGGGGTGAGGGTGGGAATTTCAGTGTTAAATGGGCACAGAGTTTCCAGTTTGGGAAGATGAAAAAGTTCTAGAGACAGACCGTGGTGATGGCTGTACAAGATTGTGAACGTTCTTAACGCCACTTGAGCTGTACCCTTAAAAAATAGTAAAACTTTATGGCATATACATTTCACCACAATAAAGAAAAAGAGAGTTGCTAATTTGAATACTTTTCTGGGTGGGTCTTGTGGGGAAAGCTGAAATTTACAGCTTCTTCAAAACTGAGCTTTTTTTAGTGTCTTTCAAAAATAAACCTTCCTCCTCCCTCCCCGCCCTCTCAGTTCTCAAACAAACAACAACGACTGTGAGCCACCATCTAGAAGGCTCTAGGGAGCCGAATGGAGGAGATGAAAGAAGGGGCTAACAGTGTGGGAAGACAGGCCTGTCGATGTGGTACTTGCTGTTGTTTTGAAAGGATTGTTTTGGTAGTAAGTGACAGAGGTGTTCCTGGGCGGGCTTAGCCATAAATAAGAAGGCATTGGGAGGATCCTGGAGGTGCTGGAGGGAGCATTAGTTTCCTGTTGCTGCTGTAGCAAATTACCACAAACTCGGTGGTATACAACAACACAAATTTAATCTCTTACAGTTCTGGACGTCTGAAGCCTAAAATGGATCAGCAGGGCTGGTTCCTAGTGGAGGCTCCAGGGGAGAATCTATTCCCTTGCCTTTTTCAGCTCCTAAGGCTGCCAGCATCCCTTGGCTCATGGCCCCTTCCTCTATCATCCATCTTCTACTACTGATGCTGACCCTCCTGCCTCCTCTTGGGAGCACCCTTGTGATTACCTTGGGCCCACCTGTGTCATTGAGGATAAAAAACTCCCCATCTCAGAGTCCTGAACGACACCTGCAAAGTCCCTTTGCCCAAATAAGATAATATATTCATGGGTTCTGGGGATTAGGGATCTTTCTGTGAAAGCATGCAGGTAAGGAAAGGATTACTAATGCTCTGAGGACCTTCATCTCCAGGAACTGGGAGAAGTGGACCCCTTTCAGACACAAAAGATGGCTGCCTTCTGCCCACCCACAGCCAAATATGTACAGGCAGACCTTACATCTGGGCCGGGAAGATCCCACCTCAGTGTCCCCGGGGCTGGGATGGGAGGGAGAGGAGCTGCAACGCCTACAAGGCTGTTGTTGGGGACGAACAGAGCAACCACCGTGGGCTTTGTGATGACTCCCAGCTCCACCTGAGTGTTTTGGCCTCCACTCCCCTCTCAGAGCTCTTTAAAGACTTCTTGTCTTTGTGATTTACAAACACACCCCGAACATACTCAGACAATAAAAAGAAGACCATTGAAATCTCTAAAACCCCACCAACTCAGAGATAACCACTGTTAACATATTGATGTACATCTTCCTTGACATAGATTTAAGTATACAACTTTCCAGAATGGTTATACTTGCTGCTTTACGATCTGCTTCATTCACTTAGTAATATGTTGGGATCACTTTTCTATGGCAATTGATGTAGAATTACCGCTCCATTTCTAGTGGTTTCATAGTATTGTATAGAATCACATAGTTAGTGCATGACTGACTACCAAGTTGCTTTTAATTTCTAGCTATTACAAACAATACTACCATGGACTTCTTTGCCATTTGTTTAGGTAGCTCCTTAAGGTAAATTTCTGAATATGGAACTGCTGAGTCAAAGGTACATTCACTTACATTTGGGTATTATTATGGGCTAAATAGTGCCCCCTATGTTCAACCCCCCCCCAAAAAAAAGACATGTTGAAGTCCTAGTATTACCCATATTTTCTCCCGGTACTTCTATAATTTCATGTTTTAAAGTTAAATTTTTGCTATACCTGGAATGTGTTTTCCTGTGAGAAGTCAGATCGAAATCTAGCTAGGTCATTTTCAAGGTGACTAGACAGTACCATGACATAACTAACCCATGCTGATTTGAAATGCCACCATTATTATATCCTAAACTTTCAAGTGTGCTGGAGGCTGTTGTGATCACTGTTCAATTATCCTAGCTAGTAATCTACTCTTCTTTAACCGAACTGGGAAAGCACCAAAAATGACCACCAGAGGGCACCATCTGTTCTCCTTGACACCCCCTCCAGGCCCTCTAGCTGCCCAAATCTGCAGGTTGCTTTTTCAGTTGTGCAGAAAGGCCACCCTAACTTCCTGCCTTCCTCCTGTGGTGGAAAGACAATGGTGGAGCCAGGAAAAGAGTGTAGGCAACAGGAAGTGGGCAGGTCCGCATGCCCTGGTGTGGAGTCCGAAACTTTGCTCTCGGGCCTCCCTTTGCCAACACATAACACTCCCGGTCCGCTGGGACACAGCCACCAGCGGCTCTCAAAGCACTCTGGCTTGGTTCATCCACATCCTCTCCTCCACTGGGTGAGCTCCTACACATCCTTAAAGGCCCAGTTCCAATGCTACCACTGGGCCCCTCTTAGTCCTCCTACTTCTGTGCTCCCACGCACTAGCATTCATGGCTTCCAATAGCAATTACTTACGCCCCTCCATCCTGGAGAACATGTGCTCCACCAGGAACCATGACTGGCACAGCTCAGACCTGTGAGCAGAAGGCCTGGCACAAATCTCCTCTTCTTGAACCGAACTGGGAAAGCACCAAAAATGACCACCTGACTGACGGTCAGTGAACCTCACCCACATTCTCTTATGTCTTCACCTGCCTCCCTTGCCTCGAGAGGCAGGTGCCAGGTCTGATTCCTCTTTCTGGCCCCACACAGCCCAGCACAGGGTTTAGCAAATAGGATCTCAATTTTGCTAGAACAAGGCTGCCTCCTTTGTACTAGTATGTGTAACTCACTTCTCTCTGTGGATGTCTTTTTTTCAGTTGGCACCTATCTATCAGGCATTTTCTGTTGGGTCCTGGTCTGTGCTGGGTGCCATGCTGTCCCAGCTTGGGGGAGCAGAGACTAACAAATGAGAGATTTCATGACGCCGTCATTGGATCTACTTAATGTTTACCAATCGAACTCTTTCATTTTAATTTTTTTCCAGACCCCCAGATGACTCTCTGTTTTAACCTTTCTTATGTATAGTACATGTCTAATGCACTGTTTGATCTATAAATAAACACTTTAAAAACAAAAAGGATATGAAATGTAAATGAAAATTTAACAAAAAGGAAATGAAATTCAATTGCTTGTCATTGTTGTTTCATCAACATCAGCACTCTTGATAGCTACTTTATGTTTTATTTTACTTCTTTTTCTTTTTTTTTTTAGAAGTGAAGACTTCTTTATTTTTTTCCCAAGAAAAACGATTTTAAGTATAAAAATGTTACATGCAATAAACATTAATATTTCAAGAAAAAAAGGATTTTAGGTATAATAATTTATCAAAACTGTACTAACATAGTATGATATCATAAAAGTCATAGGAAATATTAAAAATCTGCAAATAACAGGATTACTTCTATTAGATTCTAAAATATCCCCCCCCCCCCCGGCTCTATTTTTGTTCATCAGTTTATGTTGTTCATTATATTCCACAAATGAGTGAAATCATGTGATATTTATCTTTCTCTGACTGGCTTATTTCGCTTAGCATGATGCTCTCCAGATCCATCCATGTTGTTGCAAATGGTAAAAGTTCCTTCTTTTTTACAGCAGCTAGTATTCCATTGTGTAGATGTACCACAGTTTTCTAATCCACTCATCTGCTGATGGGCACTTAGGCTGTTTCCAAATCTTAGCTATGGTGAATTGTGCTCCTATGAACATAGGGGTGCATATGTCCTTTCTGATTGGTGTTTCTGTTTTCTTGGGATATATTCCTAGAAGTGGGATTCCTGGGTCAAATGGGAGTTCCATTTTTAGTTTTTTGAGGAAACTCCATACTGTTCTCCACAGTGGCTGCACCAAGTCTGCATTCCCACCAGCAGTGCAGAAGGGTTCCTTTTTCTCGCCAGCACTTGTCGTTTGTTGATTTGTTGATGATAGCCATTCTGACAGGTGTGAGATGGTACCTCGTTGTCATTTTGATTTGCATCTCTCGGATGATTAGTGACTTTGAGCATGTTTTCATATGTCTCTTGGCCTTCTTTGTGTCCTCTTTTGAAAAGTGTCTATTTAGGTCCTTTGCCCATTTTTTGATTGGATTGTTTATCTTCCTTTTGTTAAGTAGTATGAGTTCCCGAACTCCTTCATTTTACAAATGAGGTAACTGAGGCTCAGACAGGGGAAGGTGTCATGCAGGAAGTTGTTGGCAACGAGCCTGGAAAGCCTCCGGAGCCCGATTCCCTGGAAGGAGGCCTGGTGGCCTGGGGCCGGAGCCTGGGCCTCTCCCGTGGGCTGAGCAGAAAGGGGAAGTGTGCTCAGGCTGCACCCGCTGCTCTGGGTGGGTGGAAGGCCGTGGGCGAGGAGCGCCTCCCATCAAGGCCACAGCACTCATTTTTCACGGCTGTCCCCCAGCCGCTCACATCTGGACAAGCTGGCAGCCCAGGTAAGCCTCTGGGCCGGTGGCAGTGTGAGTGACTGTCTGGGCTTGTGCTGGGGGTTGTCGCTGGTGCCTCGGGAGGACCACTGGGTGGGGTTGGAGAAACACTGGTCTTGAGGAATCCACTGGGGTCGCTGGCGGGCGACCTCCGAATCCCTGGCCTCCGTTTCCTCGTGTGTGCGTTGGGTGATGAGGGAGCCTATGCCTCAGGCCGCAATGACAATGACTGGGAGTGAGACTTCTGTGCTGCAAAGGGGCTGTTCTCACTCTGGATCCCGATGGCGAGTTTGGTAACTGAGGACCCTAGTGGGTCTGGGCTGGAAATGGTGGAGGGGGGGGGGGGGCTGGGGGGATATGGAGGCGTTGATGGTGCGAACTTTGGGCTACATCTTGGAGCTGTTGGGTGGGAGCCCTAGAACAGCACCGGCCGAGGTCTGCTTGTCACTGGGCGTCTGGCCCCGGGGGATTAAATGGGAAGGCATCCTGCCTTCAGAGGCCTCAGCACCGAGGTGTGTTAGGTTGGGGTCAGGTCCCCATTTTGTCATCCGCTCCTGCCCTCTGGGAAATTACTGTGGAGGAGCCCGGGTTCGTCTCTGTGGCTTCCACTTCCACCTTCTCGCGCATCACTTGTCCCGACAGCCACTCTCTTTCCCGGCCCCTTAGGGCACACCCGCCTCTGAGGGAGCGTGGAAAGTGGACATTGCTGAGCCTGGAGAAGACAAGGCCTGGAGCTTCTTTTTATCTTCTTTAGGATCTTCCTCCCCCCTCCCTCCCCCCAAAAAACAACTAGAAAACTGCAGAGAAATAGGGAAACAATGACCCCCAAATTCCACCACCTCACAACTGTGAGAGAGGAGTTGGTTTTGTCTTCTAATCTTATTTCCCTGGGTGTAGATTTTGAAAAGTTCTAGTTGTTTTATTTTGACGCACATGCGTTCTGGAAATAGAAATATAGACTTCAGCCTGTGACCAGGGCCCCGGCATCCCTGTCCCCTCCACCCACGGTAACGCCAGCATTACTGCCAGGGAGCCCCTGAGCCTCAGGTGTTGAGTTCTCCTCCATAGTCTTAGAGCCAAGCAGATGAGAAAAGCAAGCGACCAGAGACAGGATCGAGGAGGGACCTCGGGGGTGGAGAAGTCCCGGGACAAACGTGCCAGGAAGCTTGAATAACCTCACTTGGGAAGGCTCGGCTGAGGGCCAACACATCCCAGCGACATCTCAGAGACACTGAAACAGCCACCTGTTTGCAAGCAGGGAACAGCTCAAAGACGCGATACCTACATTTGTGAAAATGTGTTTTGTTGAATGCTTCACAGCAAGGCCAGGCGATGCAGAAAAAAGGATCCCACTTTCACCCACTACAAAATCAAAATCATTTTTTCGTGTTGCCACGCAGTCAGGCGACGGCCTGTGATGTGTGGACACGTGCATTCTGCTCCCTCCCTCGTCCTCTCCTGACGTTCTCTTCCTGTTGCTCCATTGCTGCAGCCCATCCCATCCAGTGGCCTTTCTGCCGTTTTCGTCTCCCACCCCCCAGAGTTTGCCTGCTGGGTGGTGCACGTATTTATGCACTGAGGTTCCACTTGCTCTGGATTCCTTCTTAGGTGAGATTTCCAGAAATGATATTGTGGAATCATAGGACAGGGCCGTTTTTAAAATGTATTACCATTTGCTTTCAAAAAATGTTTAAGTCGATGTGTACGGCCAGTAGCCACATGGGAGGATCCGTTTCGTCACAACTTTGCCAGAATAGGATTTTATCACTTTTTCATTTTTGCTCGCAAATAGATGTAGTTTCTAACCGTGGGCAGACACATATGCCAGGGAACATAAGTCTAAGGGTTGAGCATGTACGAACAGAGTAGGGTCCTATAATGAAATAAATCCAACAAGACTAATCTGGGAGTGATGGTGTGATCAGCGAGTGACTGAAGGAGGCGCGTGCCATCAGCTGGGCTCTGCCTGGCCCAAAATGACACGTTCCAGTTTGCCTTGTCCTTCTTAGTTCTCCTGGATCTATAGCCAGCCTTTCACACGATTGGGAAGATGGAGGGACAGGGAAGAGAGGCTGGACTCCTTATAGTTACACTTCCCTGTCCTTTCCCAGGCACACTTGGCTTTGCAGTTGCCAGCAGCTATGCACATGGCATGTCTGGTGCTGACATCAGCCAGAAGTCAGGTGGGAACTTGCCCTCACTAAGCACGGGAGTGAGAGATGTGAATTCAGGCAAGACATGGTCATGCTGACTTGCAAGCGTGAGCTAAAATATTACCTCCAGTCTCTGAGACCTGAGGCCTAGGTTGGGAGCAGCTTAAACCCTCATTCCCTGCCCTGGTGAAGTTCAAAGCCCTCCCCGAGATTTCGGTGGGGTCCCCAGGAGGCTACCCCTTTCCCATGGTTAGCACTGGCTGGGGGCCCTGTGGGCGAACTCAGCCCCTTTCTTGGTTTCCTACCCCCAAAACAAAACCGCTCACCACAGCATCGGCAGATGCAATAGACTTTAGTAGATTGGGTAGGGTGTCACCAGAGAGATTTCTAAAGTAGCAATGCACACAACAGCTCTGTTCTTTTTTTATTTTAATATATTTTATTGATTTTAGAGAGGAAGGGAGAGGGATAGAGAGATAGAAACATCAGTGGTGAGAATCATTGATTGGCTGCCTCCTGCATGCCCCCTAATGGGGATCGAGCCCAAAACCCAGGCATGTGCCCTTGGCTGGAAACAAACCTGGGACCCTTCAGTCCATAGGCCAGCACTCTATCCACTGAGCCAAACCAGCTAGGGCAATAGCCCTGTTCTTAAAATATCATGACCACTCTATCCCAGAGTACCTGCCACCAGTTACTTCTCCCACCTTCGTACCATGCAGCTGGCTCCCTTTCCTTCCCTCTTCCCCAGAACTCCAAATTCCCCCTCCCCCAATACCCAGAGGAATTCATTCTTTCCCAGTTCCTGGCACAGCCAGCTGAGTACTTTAAAGGCAGCTCTATTTTTTACTTTTATTTTTTTAAGTGAGGTTTGCATCAAATGCACACGTCTTAAGTGTACAGCTTCATACATTTGACAGTTGTAATACACTCTGTCACCACTGCCCAAAACTAGAGGTAGAATCTTTTCATCACCCCAGAACGTTCCCTCGCAGCCCTTTCCAACACACCCTTTCCTCCCCCATGGCAACCACCATTCTGATGTCTGTCCAGTCAAGTAGTTTAGTCTGTTCTTGAACTTCCCAGAAGAGAAGCACACAGGTTGTGCTCTTTTACACCCGGCTTCTTTCACTTAATGTTCCCAGAATTCATCTACATTGTTGTGTGGACCGGGAATTTTTATAAATGTCTAGATAGCATTTCATTGTATGAGTATACCAGCCTATTTATCCATTCTTCTGTTGAATTCCATTCCGTTTCTACAGTTTCACATTCTTTGAGTAACCATAACATGGTTGATATTAAGAATAAGCCCTAGCCAGTTTGGCTCAGTGGATAGAGCTTCGGCCTGTGGATTGAAGGGTCCCAGGTTTGATTCCAGTCAAGGGCACACGCCCAGGTTGCAGGCTCGATCCCCAGTGGTGGGCATGCAGGAGGCAGACAATCAATGATTCTCTCTCATCATTGATGTTTCTATCTCTCTCTTTCCCTCTCCCTTCCTCTCTGAAATCAATAAAAATATATTTAAAAAACAAAAGCAAGTGCTAAAGAAACCCACAGTCTCTGGAATTCCGGAGATGGATAGTGAGTATGGCTTCTGTCACTGATTCCCCGGAAGTGCCTTTTGGGGAAGTGAGACTTGGGGCTGGGATGGCTTTTGCTTTGAGCTGCCCTCCCACCCTGACATCACTCAGCATTGCAGCAGGCTCACCGCCCAGTGTGTCTTAGATTCCTGAGGAATGAGGAGAAGCGAGAGAGAAGCTGGACCTCGACCCTCCTGTGCTCCCCTGCCAGCTGTTCGATGCCAGCAGCGGATGGCAGACGGAGAGCAGGGGGCCTGCCAGAGGCCGTGTGTCCCGGGGGGTGGGGTGGGGGGCACCTGAATTTCAGGCCTGGAGTCCAAACTGCCTACTACCCTGCATGGTTACAGGCGTGGCTCACCAGCAACAGGGGAAAGAGCCCGGGCATCGCTTGTTCCTATAGTCACAGATGCACACGGAGCTCCCACTGCGTGTCAGGGGATGTCCGAGGCTCTGGGAACAGTCGTAAGGGGAGAGGAGGCAGGCCACTGTGGGCGACAGACAGGAACAAATACAGCGAGAGACAGCCGTGACGGGATGAGTATGTGGGAAGGAAGAATGTCTTTTGTGTATTGGTCATAACATCCTAGGGGAGGAAGGGGATGTCTGCCTCCCACCCCTCCCCACCCAGCACCCTGCCCATGGACTCTGCCTCCTACGCAGAGAGAATGGGAGGTTTGGGTGCCATCTGTCAGCCCCTGCCCCCGCGCCCGGGCTGGTTCCGTCCAGCCGCACACCCTCTCCCCATCCTTGCTCCCTTGTAAAATCTCCTTCTTCCACCTGGGCTGCAAAGGTGCCTCCTCTGCCTCTCAGATCTCACCCCTTCTCTCTTCAATGCCTGCATTTTGTTCTTGTTCTCTCTCCTGGCGCCTTCGCCGTTTATAACACACCAAAGTCTCTCGTTTCTTAAACCGACAACCTCTTCTCAACCTCAGTGTCTGCCCTTCTTGAAATTCAGGCTTCCCTTGCCTCCTTGGAGCTGCCTCGAAGCTGTTACCCATCATGGAGATCTCAGAGTGAGTGAGATCCGGCTGTCCTGGGGCATGGGGTTGAGGAGACGGGGAGAGGACAGTAGGGAGGGGAGGAGAAGCAGGGAGGAGGATGCGTGCACGACAGCTCCTCATTCCCACATCGTACTCCTTATGACTGTCGTCCAAGGACTTGGACTAGAATTCTAGGATCCCCTGCTCCTGCTGGTGTCCAAGGGAAGGAACCCAGGAATCCAACAAAGTCGTTCACATCCTCGTAAAAACCAGTTTCTCTTCCTCCGTGTCCG